TCTACGCGTGGTAATTCGACGCGTGGCAACTCCACGCGTGGTAATTCGGCGCGTAGTAATTCCACGCGTAGCAACTCAACGCGTGGTAATTCGGTGCGTGGTAATTCCACGCGTGGTAATTCGACGCATGGTAACTCCAAGCATGGTAATTCGACGCGTGGTAATTCCACGCATGGTAATTCGGCGCGTGGTAATTCGGTGCGTGGTAATTCCACGCGTAGGAATTCGGCGCATGGTAACTCCAAGCATGGTAATTCGACGCGGCAATTCAACGCGTGATAATTTCGATGCATAGTAATTCCAGGCGTAGTAATTCAACGCGTGGTAATTCGACGCGTGGTAATTCAACGCGTGCTAATTCCACGCGTAGTAATTCAACGCGTGGTAATTCACCAATCAGAGTACAAATATTATTCGCGCTCTACTTGGTCCGTGTTCTTCCTTAATAATAAAAAACTACAGTAACTACGAGGCACCCTGTACAGAAACTTGCAATATCAAAAATGTTCAGAAAGAATCTAACACCTAGAAGAAGAACTCAGTCGAACTAGACCTAATAAGCTATACGAGTCTTCTTAAACAAACCATTGTCTACCGGAACCCACCAATACGGAAACGATGAACAAGACGTAAGAATTGGCAAATTTTTGTCGTACAAGAACGACGCAATGATCGAGTGACGAAGTCTCATAGTTGCCAAAAAGCTGCGTATAAATAGGCCGGTTGACAAAAACAAGTCGACGCGTTGGGCAGACACGTTTAAGTTTTTAATCGAGCGGATTCAACAGGATCCTTGTGTCCCGTTAATAAACCACTGTCTACACAATGGCTCGATTGTTTCGCCGAGGGTTTTCAGACCGATGAAACTCGAAGGACAGTATTCTAATTGCAACGATATTTGTCCAGGGAAACGGGAAACTCGTCGGGAGAGAAAAGACGGAGATCCTGATGAATACGAGGGTGATTATTGTTGTAGGAGGGTTTGTTTGTTGGAAGCGCTTTTAGATGATTTGTTGGGATTTGATTTTGAAGGGGTGGAATATGGACGTTGGGGACCTGGTAGGTGATTTTTGATGGGAGATTATTTGGAAAGTTGGGAAGTTTTGGAACAGGGGGAAGATGGGGGATTGGGGAAGGTTGATGATTTGAGTTTGGAAATTTGAGAATTGGGAGATTTGGGATTTTGGGAGATTTGAGAATTTGGGAGACTTGAGGATTTGGAAGATTTGAGAATTGGGATATTTGAAATTTGGGGGATTTGGAAATAGGGGAATGTGGTCATTGGGGAATGTGGAAATTGGGGAATGTGGGAATTGGGGAATATGGGAATTGGGAAATTTGAGAATTAGGAAATTTGAGAACTCGAGAATTTGAGAATTTGGAAATTTGAATACTCAAAAATTTGAGAATTAGAAAATCTGCAAATTCCTACAATCTCCAACTCGAAAATTCACAAATTTGAAACACCAAAACCACCAAAATTTTAATACAAAAATATTCTTCAATTTAAAAAAATAAAAATATAGAAAACATTTTCCAAATTCCCAAATCCAATAACATAGCATTACAAAATTTAAAAATATCGAAAATACAGAGATTCAAAGATTTAAAAATATATATGAGGATAGATAAATTTCTTACCTACGACAGAGCGACAAAAGTGCGAAGCAGCATGAGATAAAGTTAAATATGCGCGAGGTATTTTTTTTGCAATACGTAAATTTCTTGGAATTCCAAAGTACCCTCGTGGTCTTAACAATGCTCGGTTTCGAAACAAGAAGATGGTTACTGTTCGAGAAGATCTCGAATTATCTCGAAGCTGTACATTTGATGGTTTTACGTTCATTTTATCTGGAAAAGGGAAATTCTTAACACAAGAGAAACGAACTATTGTTAAATTCATATCGATTGGAATAAAGACAATTATATACAATTCTTCAAAGATAAATTCTTCAAAACTCTTTTGTTTTTTTTTTTAAATAAAATCTTAGCATGATTTATAAGAAATTTTAGGTACATTAAAATTCATTAAGAATGGAATGAAATTATCAAGTTTTAATGAAACTTTCAAGTTTTAACATTAAACCTACCGGTGTGCTATACATACTCTGAAATTAAAAATGAAGTTGAAAAATAAATAAACAAATTGTAAAACATAAATTAATATACACGTTAATTCTGTATTTTCATGAACATTAGCAAAGATTCTAAAGAAATTGTCTTAATAAATTTTGTAAATCAAAATGAAAAATTTGTAAGATTGCCATTTGACCTTTTTGGTACTTTTAGTATTAAATACGTTCAAATAGGCAAAAGCAACAAAATCGTAGAAATCTATACATTAAATATATCACGCTAAATAATGAATCACGTAAACAGATACAAATATACAAAATTAAAATAGTAAATTGAAACAAAAGCTGTCTATTCTCAGCATACACCTATAATTTATAAATTATTATATTTGTCTGAATGTAATAAATGGCATGAATTTTACAAATTCATTTTAAAAATGCATTTTAAAGAATTTACCTTTCAGATTCTCTACTCATGTAGCTTTCATGAAAAATAATCAATCACCAACTCGAATTTCAATTAATGTAACAGTATTCTTCTTGAAAAATCATAAGTATTTCTTCGTGCCGATCACTTCCATCGTACTACTCGAACTGCGAAGTGATCGAAAATCGAACGTCTTGATATCCCTTGTTCGATTCATTAGCATCGATTTGCGCGAGATGGCGTAATGTGAGAACGCGGGTAATTCAAACTGTTGGTCATTCACATATGTGAATGTGATAACATATGTGTGGCAATATTATATAGCATTGATGTATACTGTCTGGTAATACAGTGCATAGGATATAGATATAACGAGATGGATATACAAATATGTTTAATGTGTGATGCTAATAATGTGTCGAATATATGTGTGACAATATAACACATTGATGTGCATTACCTAGTAAGACAATGTATACGATATATAACGGAATGGATATATAAATACGTCTGATATATGATGCTAACATATGATGCTAACAAATGTGTCGAATATATGACATGATAAATGTACATATAAATGTGACGCATATATATATGTGTTGAATATATGAGGTGATAGATATATTGTACAAATGTATCGACTATGTGACGTGATGGATACATGTGTAGAAATGTCGAATATGTAACATGATGGATATACAATATAAATGTGGCACATATGTGACGTGATGGATATACATATGAATATGTTCAAATGACGTAATGGATGTAGGAATGTGTTGACTATATGACGTGATGGATATATTAGCGTGGAAAATATACAACGATCCCTATATATAAATGTGCCGAGTATACAATGTTACGGAAATACAACGCGTCGAAAATACAATGTGCCAAATATAAGATGCGTCAAATATAAAATGCATCGAATATACAACGCATCGAAAGTACAACGTGCTGAATATACAACGCGTCGAAATTGCAACGCACCGAAATTATAACGCGCTGAATATACAACGCGTTGAAATTGCAACGCATCGAAATTATAACGCGCTGAATATACAACGCGACAAAATTGCAATATGCCCAGTATACAACGCGTCGAAATTACAACGTATCGAAATTGTAACGCGCCGAATATACAACGCGTAGAAATTACAACGCGCCGAATATACAACGCATCGAAATTACAATGCGCCAAGTATACAACGCGTCGAAATCGCGGCGCATTAAAATTACAACGCGCTGAATACGCGACGCATCAAAATTGCAATGCGTAGAAATTTCGGCCCATCAAAATTACAGTGCGTAGAAATTGCAATGCGCCGAGTACACAACGCATCGAAACCGCGGCGCATTAAGATTACAACGCGCCGAATACACAACGCATCCAAATTGCAACGCGTAGAAATTTCAACCCATCGAAATTACAATGCGTAGAAATTGCAATGCGCCGAATACACAACGCGTCGAACTCACAACGCGCCGAAATTGCAACGCGTAGAAATTTCAACCCATCGAAATTGCAATGCGTGGAAATTGCAATGCGCCGAATACACAACGCGTCGAACCCACAACGCGCCGAAATTGCAACGCGTAGAAATTTCAACCCATCGAAATTACAATGCGTAGGAGTTGCAATGCGCCGAATATACAACGCGCCAAAATCGCAGCGCATTAAAATTACAACGCGCCGAATACACAACGCATCGAAATTGCAACACATAGAAATGTCAACGCTTTCAAATTACAGCTCACCGAAATTACAATCCATAGAAATTGCAATGCGCCGAATACACAACGCATCGAACCCACAACGCGCCGAATACTTAACGCGTAAAACTTACCGCGCCTCGAAATTACAATGCGTCACAACTACGTCTCTAAAATGCATGGTGAATATTCCGCATCGTATATAAACACATGATGCAACCGAAATCAAACATATAACTCGCGAAGAGCAAACATCTGCTACAAGAAAAACTGTTGGATTGCGTTTAGTGTTGGCGGGTCCCACGGTACATAAACGAGAAGTCCGCAACGTGTCCCGAATGACGCGTACACGCGTCCGCAAGAGTGATTTGCTCGCGTGATTCCGGCTAAAGGAACGAGTAAATTTCAATCGAGATTTGGAAGCCTCTTTAGGCGACTCTCTCCTGTTGACATTTCCTCAGAGAGTCCTTCGAGAGTGCACGGTCGACAGCTACGTGATAAATAACAAACAGGACCGAAACCAGTTCCTTACTTGCGACCTACTTGCCAACGGATGCGAAATTACGGACGGACCGGGAATATTAATAATTTAGTAATCTGCCGGACGGTCGTGAAATTTGTAGCGGACACTCGGTCATCCTTAGAGGATCATCTTGCAAGACGCTCGTTAAAATTGCAGGGAACTGTTGTCCTTCGAGGATCGTTTTCGATGAGTTATTTAACTTATTATGGGTCAGGTGTCGAGTACTGAAAATTTGTAGGATATAATTTAGGAGCAACAGATTTAGAAGAAGGGAGATATATTTGGATGGATAGAGAGGAGTATCGATTTGACAATTTAGAAATTTGCGGATGTAGATTTTTTTAAATTTGACCAGCATATGCAGGCAAAACTAAAATGGGAAATAAACGGTACAATACAGGGTGTCTCACAAGTAGTGTAGGTCCCTGAAATGCGGGCAAATTCTATTATTAAAAGTAGCTATTGTCCCTAAATCTAGTAATAAGCAATAAACTGAACCACCAAAGAATTACTAACCAAAGAGCAGTCATATGCTGGAAATTCCCTTATCACCCTCATTCCTGATTTCGAAAAAATAACAAAGCAAATGTCCTCGAAAATTACACCCCGGCAAACGGTGATTCTGTCGATGTTTTCCACGTAACCGGTAGAAAGTGAGCGAGAAAACATTTCTCTCAGCTCCATATCGCTCCATGATGTTTCTCCGAACGATCCTCGTCTCTTAACGCGCGCTTTTTCTTTTCTTCTTCTTTTTTCCTTCATCTTTCCCCGGGTCTGACCTATTTTCTCCCTCACCCGGTTTCCTTCTCGTTGGACGTTTTCTTCTCTTCTCGCGTTGTCTACGCTTTTGTCCGTCGTTTTCTTACCTCCTTTCTCGGCTCGCGCCGAATGCTTTTTCCCTCGCGACTCCGCCGACCGTTTCGTTTCGTTCGTTCATTCATTCACGTCCAGCACCGAGTCACGACCGACTCGTTACTTTTCATTCCATGACCCACATATCCCGTCGTCTTTTATTTACGTGTCCTTTCTCCATTCTTTCCGCGTCCCTCTGCGCTCGATAAATATATAAATCGTTCCTGCTCCATCTCCTGCGCTCGGAGAGCTTCAAAACTGCCGGAACACTTTTCGCTTCAGTTTACACGCTTTACGTTTCGCTTCGACTCGCGCTGTTTAGCTTTGTTTCATACACTATCGATATAAGCGATCTACAACGATCTAAGTCAAACAAATTAATAAAATTGTGGGACATTTAGGGATGGGGGGCATCCTGGTGTTTGAGACATTTAGGGATATGGGCAATCCATGTGTCTGAGACACTTAGGAATGTGGGTGTCCAGGTGTCTGAGACACTCTCCCTTAGGTCTCAGTTAATTAGTGCTGTGCATTTAGGGGTGTGGGGTATTCAGAGGAGTCTGGGGAACTCCTCTGAATTTTGGACAATTAGTGTGGTTTGTTTTGGGGGTTGGAGCACTCCACTAGGTCTTGGACTAGTGGTGTGTGGCATTTTTGGGGTATGGGGTGTGTTCAGGGGTCAGGGCACTCCAGGGTCTGGGACAGTGTAGTGTGTGGGGCATTCAGGGGTTTGGGGCACCTATTGGGTCAGGGACGGAAGCTTCCATCGGGATGTCACCATGGTGAGCACCTACTAAGCAGGGGCGGAGGGCAAGGTGTGTGTCATCGGTGGTCAGCAGCAGACTGCTTCTCAAAAATGGGATCTCAATAGAGGTTCCCAAAATGGGACACTTAGGGGCGCGGGTATGAAACCAACTTGCTATCCCCTAACATAAAAGTGTGAGCATGCTTCCGCTTTCAACGTATAGGTAAAGACCATATACGTGAATCGGAAACATGCTGTTGCTTCTTTCTCGCGGTCCTTTATTATAGTCGCAGGAGCCTATTATAATTGTGAGAAAAACAATTCGTGACTGGCCACCTGGCGGTCGCGGTGTCCAGTTCGCGATCTGCGGTCCACGCGATACGCGCGAAAAAATGATCAGTGGGGGGAAGCCCCCTCGCGACACCGTGAAGCTCGAGCGTCGAGAAGTGTAACATGATCCGCGGTTTCAGTATATCCGTGAGACTCTACCAATGCAAATATAAAACTTTTTTATTTTTGACTTTTTCGTTGTCAAACTTTTACCAATTGATTCTTGACATTTTTCCGATTAAAATGACACCAAACACGATATAATTCCGACTATGTTTACTGATTTAATTGACGATAAGTTTTGAACGAGGAATAATGAAAGGAGAAGAAAGACGTTGCGATTAAATCGGTCAAAGATAGAGTCTGTTTTATTATTTACAATGCTGATGCGTTACGAATTTTTTTATTTTCAGTTCTTTTTTTATACAAATTTATGAAGATGTATCTCGAAAGCTCAGCTGCTATCAAGACTCGACTGTACTTTTAATAAGTAAATATCCATCGTATACCCGACGTGTTACGTCGGACCGACACAGATGATGCCGGTGAAAAGATGTTTTCTTGTTGCGTTATTTACTTTAGCGAGAACGTTCGCTGAAGTATGCCCTGATGTAGCGTGGAAAGTGCAGTGAAAGACGTAATTTAATGTTTATTGGGGTTCTCCTAAAAATTCCAGTGGAAATTCCGAAATTGAGGTGTTTAGAATGCGACGAATTAGAACATTTGGAAAATTGGGAAAATAGAAAATCGCGAAATCTAGAAAGTGAATAGATTGTGAACAAATCTGCAAATGTAAAAATTTTAAAACGTGCAAATCTGCAAATACAAAAATATGAAAATGGAAAACTTGCAAATCTGCAAATGTAAAAATCTGAAAATGGAAAACTTGCAAATCTGCAAATGTAAAAATTTGAAAACTAAAAAACTTAAGAACCCAAAAATTCCTGAATCCTAAAATTCAAAAACCTCAAAAGTTAAAAAATTCTTTCCAAACAAATTCCTCCTTGTGTCCCAAAAACCCTCAAAGTGCAAAGTACATCAAACATAAGAATTAAAAATTGAATTTCCCTTCCATTTAACTAAAACCACCAAAGATTAAATACACTGCATTCACTTAAACTCCGATCGCAACTATCCGTATCCTAATAAAAAATTTACGATCGAAGAATGTACCATTTAACAGTTTAAATCTCCCTGCCTCTTATTTCCCATTTTCCCTGCTTCCGTTTCCGAGATGTCCTGCGTGGATGTTCGTTGGTTTCCGGCCGCCTTGGCGCAGGTGTTCGATTTAAAGCTGCAACAGTCTGCAGAGCCGCGGCTAAGGTAAACTGTAAGGGTCTTCAGAGCTGTGTATCCGCTTTCCACGGGGTGTGGAGAGGGCGAAGAAAGAGCGAGATGCCGAGGGTAGCGAAAGAGGGAGAGAGAGAGGAAATAGGGTAGAGTATAGCGCAACACAGCCAACTATCGTGAGGTGGTCGGATCAATATTCCGTCCGGTCCATCCTCTGACCCATATCTCTCTTTCTCTCTTGCTTACCTGTTCAACCTCTCTCCTTCCTCTCTCGTTTCTTTTTCTCTTCTCGGTATCTGTTGTTGAAGTTATCTTCGACCATCTCTATTGAAAGTCCTTCGTTTTCTTTCTCTTTGTGCTTTTTTAGCGTCGCTGCGCTGGAGACCGAAATGGGTTGACTTTGCGGACGGGGTTGCTTTCAATGGAAAATGGGATTTTGGGTTTATTTTGGGAGGGTAAATTAGTAGGTGGGATTTTGGGGGACGCTCGTTAGGTTAATGGGTTAGAGCTTTAGGGTTTACATAATTTTTTTCTAGTTTGTGGATTTCGGTTGATGTAAGTTGGAAATTTTCGAATCTTCAATTTACTAGTTCCAAATTTTCAAATCCCAAATTTCCTAATCCCAAAGATCTTCACATCCCAAATTTCCAAATCCCAAATTTCCAATTCCAAATTTCCCAAATCCCAAATCTTCCATATTCCAAATCTTCCAAATTCCAAATCTTGCAAATCTCAAATCTTCCAAATCCCAAATTTCCAATTCCAAATTTCCCCCAAATCTCAAATCTTCCAAATCCCAAATCATCCAAATCCCAAATCTTCCAAATCTCAAATCTTCCAAATCCCAAATCTTGCAAATCCCAAATCTTCCAAATCCCAAATCTTCCAAATCCCAAATCTTCCAAATCCCAAATCTTCCAAATCCCAAATCTTCCAAATCCCAAATCTTCCAAATCCCAAATCTTCCAAATCCCAAATCTTCCAAATCCCAAATCTTCC